AAAAAAAAAAAAAGAAAAAAGAAAAATGAGAAATTAAAAGATGATCATAATTTATTTCCTATTTTAAACATGCCAAATGTACATTGAGCTTGATTAATTAATGAATTAAAATGATTGATAAAATGTATTCGCGAGTGATCAATGTTAGTCTCAATTCACGAATGAACAATAAGAAAGTGTCCACTAAAGAAAAATTATGATTTTTAATTTTTTTTAAAAATTTTAATTTTCAATCTCTTTGGATAATTTTTGACAACAAAAAATTTAATTCAAAAAGTATTTTTGACAAAGAAGAATGAAAAATATAATATTAATTTAGAAAATAGTTAATTCCAATTGAAGCAATTCAACAAATGCTAACTTTTCATCTAGTTTTCTATTCGCAAATTATAAACTTTTTGTTTGAATTTTTATTTTATTTACTAAAAACTTTTGACGATACATGTTTTATTAATATTTTCATGCATATCCAATGATAAATGCGCATTTTTCCTATAATTATTTTTCGCATCGTTTAATTAAAATTTCCAATTCTTTCAACTAATCCATATTTTTGAATAAATCATCAATTCTTGGTTACTTTATTTTGAATAATTTTATATTTTTTGCTAGGTCAGCTTTTAATTACTTTATATTTTTTGTGTGTTTACTTTTTTGATTCTGTTTTTTTTATTTTTGATTTATTTTTCCTTTTTTTTTGATCAATTTTTGAATTATTTTATGGTCCTGAGCGAATAATTTTAATTATTTTATATTTTTCAATGCTCAAATATTATTTAAATTATCTTTTGATAAATAGCGAACGTCCACTTAAGCTATGGCTTATCTTTTACTTATTAATCAATGAAATTATTTTGCATAAAAATATTTATCGTTTTATTTTTTTAGCAATTGCTTTTCATTGTTGATGCTTTTTTTTTTTTTGGATTTTTATATTTTAATACTTTGTGAATTTGTTACGCATTCATCGGCGTAATTGCATTTTTTTTTTTTTTTGGTTTATTTAGGAAAAGTAAATTTGATGAGAATTATAATAGAATGCAATTTTTTTAAATTTCAAATCTATTTCTACAAAAAAAAAAATTGACAGAATGAAATTTGTTGGAATATATATATTTGCTTTTTTTTTCTTTTTTTTTTGTTAAAAAGCTACAAATTTACAAAATTATTTTATCTTTAATTGAATTTCGATAAATTTCGTTTTCATAAACTGAAAA